GATAAAGCATGAAGAAAGTGTAAAATCTCCAGCCCATTTAATATAAATGAGGGATTAAGCATGGAAATGCATTATCCCTGATATTCTTCAACACGACTAAAATGACACAATCACTGACATTTTCAGACTGCAGTGAACAAAATAGTGGAGCACCTTTGGGATCCTACGGTCTGGGAAACTGGGAATGACACAGAAGATATTGTACAAAAATGGCTACTTGAAGAAGAAAAACAAAGAAGAAATAATATAAAACCTGACATGTAAGAAGCCTGATTAATCAAAGATATCTGTAAGTGGAATAGATTAGTAAAATATTTACTGACAATAGGAAAATTACACTGATAAGAAAAATCAACAGCAAATTCTGTGACTGCTATTGTGTGAAGAGCCACAGAGTATGAATGTCTGCCAGACAATATTTATTTATTGTTTTTTAATTATGTCTCAAGTTGTGGTTGAAAAAACTAACATCTAGCGCTATGAAATGAATCTGAGACTAAATAACCTAATAACTAAAATATACACTTATAGTGACTGTTATTTTTAGATCACTAAAGAGCTCTGAGTACTTTCTAAACACTAATTAATTAATCTTAAATATTCCCATGTCATTAGTAAGGTTAATTTTATCATTGCTAAGCACTCAGTTAGAAAATTTTTTTGCCATATTCTAACCCTAGAATGAGAAAAAAAAAATCACTCATATTAATACATTTAAAAGATTTTTTTACCTGACCATTTGTGCTTTGGAAAGGTGGGGAAGAGGAGATTTGCAGGAGTAATAACAGATTTCATGTCTGAGAGAAAGCATTAGGGCGCAGACAACTTGTGTACAGTTCTTTCATAAGAACATCCATACTGGTTATCTTAAACATTATGTTCAAAGTTGTGTTTCTTTTTTCTAAAGTATATTTTATGACTGAATGTCATAAAAGAACTTCAGGACTTTGTATGAAAAAATAATTTATGCTTCATTTTAATTCCTAAAATCATATAATAACAATGCCTTTTGATAATTACTGACCTGAGAATAAATGCTAAAAAGACTCAGACCTTCAGTAGAATAAGATGTTTGTGATATCTTCTATGTCTTGAAGAGCTCCATCTCACTTTTTTCTTGCTTGTTGTATGAGAAGTCATTTAGAAAAAAGCCTTTGCTAAAATTGGAAAATAATATAGCCAAGCATTGCTTTGATGATATCATAGAAAGATAAACAGTTATTTTTAAGTGAGTAGAAGTTCTGTCAAAATTCATATTCTTTCTGTATTATTAACTCTGTCCGTAGCATGTAAAAATTAACTATGAAAATATACAAAAAAAGATACAAAAGAATGGGAGTCACTTGCCTCTCTTCCTGCACTCAGTCTTGGACATGCTGAAAATACTGATATCAAATTGATAGTAACAATTGATAATCAGTAACATTTTCTTTACAGTACTTCAAGCACAATTCTATATCCTCACTGGGAAGGACAAATACATTTAAGATTTTATTTCTGTAGAAATGACTGTTATTATAGGCATAAACAGTCGCTGATTCAGTTAAACTCTTCATACTATTCAATATAATATGTGAGAATATGGGAGGAAACTGAGAAAATGTTCTGATTCGGATCAGCTGTGAAACCAATTACATAATCATACATATATATACACATATATATATACAGACACACACACATAGCCATAAACACATGTGCTTCCTGTGTGCTTTAAAAATGGTTGTTTGCTTTGCCCATCATTGCTACCCTTGATTTCTTACTTTAGAAAAATGAAATTTTTAACATATCAAGAGGTGCAAGGAGATGTTTTGTACCAAGACATGAATGATCCTCACCATACATGACCAAGCCTGGGGAAATAATAGACCCCTTTCAGCCTCACAATAAATTTCAGAGTCACTAGAATTTCAACTAGAGATGATGATTTTTCACATCAGAAATACCTGCAGCCATAGAAATGGCCACATGTGGCCATATAGGCAGGCAAATAGAAATATAATCATTCATCCTGAAAGTGAAGCAGCATTAAATAAGGAAAACCTGAAATAACATGGCCATGAGTTATACAAGTCCAGATTCTGCAAGGCCTGTTTTCCCAGCTTTGTTCTTCTTATTTAGTATTTAATGAGCTGAAGACAGTATGGGAAGTTCTGGCCACCTGCAGAAAAAGAGGGCTTGCTATTATTTGTTTTAAGTACCTAAAATAGCCTTAGATATTCCATACTTTATTCTAGAGATGATCTGAAATAAATATCAGCAAACTACCGTTTTTCAGGTAATGCTGCACTTCAGAGACTGAAAAAAAAATCATTAATTTATTTAATTTTCCCCTGTAATGTCAAGCATTCTTAAGAGAAACTCTTTGCTTATAAAAAAGAGGGATTGTTAATTACCTTTAATAGAGAATTTTCCTTTATTGTCAAGAAAACTTCCAGATGCTTTTTAAAAAACTGGTAATGAAATTAGGTACATAATGATTTTATAATTTATGTGAATACTATGAAAGGTATTATGCATAAAGATTGAACATCTGTTAAGGTGATCCCAAACTAAAATTCTTACCATCAGGATTCCAGCCTCTGCATTAGATTATTCAGGAAATAATTGTTGATGCAGAGTTTTCATATAAAAAGTTCCACGTCCCAATCTGAACTTGTTGAAATCTTTTTGATTTGGGAAGATAAGAGGAAACTCTACCTATAAGGAGAGCAGTCAGCTGGGAAAATTCTCAAATCAGATGAATCTGAATGCTCCTTATTAATGGTATATTCATGCCTTAACATATCTACAATTTGACCTTTTTTTTTAATAAATAATTTGAAGAGTGGCAACATACAGATAACCTTTTTTTTTTTATAGGTAAACAAACATTTCATTAAATTTCATAGGAATGTAATAAATGGAAGCAAATATTCCACAGTGTTATTTATGCGTGCACAAATTTGATTTAAGTAGTTTCAGGGTTTTATATAAGTATACAAGTACAGAGAGGAACTGAAGTTGTAAATCCATGCTACCATGGACAGTCTATCTCTTATTTGGAATGTTAATCCATAGCTGCTGAATTTCCCTCAGCAGAACCCATGGACTGAGGGTGCGGAGGTTGAATCCTGACAATCAGAACTTCACTGGGGTTTACTTACCAGAACAGCACTTATTCGCTTATTTTTCATCCAATATAAATCACATTAAGAGTAAAACAGGCCATTCAACATTTTCTGACTCTAAAAAAGGGTTCCAAAGTTAAATTGGAGAAAGGGGTTTAAAAAAAATGGCCTTTTCATGAAGCAATCATAATGTGACAGTTCATAAAACATCTCATCTGATATACAGTAGTCATTACTAAAAAGTTTGCACTTGCCAACAACTAACAAAATGTAGTTATCAGACATTTTATGCTACTTAAACCTTTCAGAAAGAAGGCTGTAAGAGCTATTCTGAAACTTTGGTTTGAGATCTGTTTGCAAACTTCTTGTATTTAAGTGTGGCCATTATAGAAGTATTTTTATTTATTTAAATATTATATGAATTTACTGATTTGCATGCAATCAGGGATCCTGGGAGAAGGAAGATACTTTAGAAAAAAAATTCTCAGAGTGAAGGGAAATGCTGAATGATCCCATGACAAACATGCTTTTCTTGTACAATAAAATAACATTTTTTTACCTGAAAACACAGTAAAATGGCTGATCGTTATTTGCCCATCTTCAGTGTTGCAATAAAATATTTTAATCCCTTTAAAACTCACACCTGCTTTTCAAGTATATTTTAAACTCTAGTTGAGATACAGAGGAATGTAATCCTTTATGAATGAGTACAGTTAAAACTGCTCTACAAGACCATATGGTCTTTCTGTGGACGGGGCTTCCAAAATTCACGAAACACACACTGTATATTTCTCGTGTGAAATGTTTAGGTTGAGGATAATACAGGGTTAGTAATATATTCCAGACAAGTGGTTCTTTCCTTTTCATAAGTGTATGCATCATATAAACCAGTTCCATCAGTTTATAATCATTTGAACAGACTGACTTTAAAACTGGTAGAAAGAGCTGTCTACAAATGATGATTTTTTTTTTTTATACTATTATAAGTAGCACTTGTTGAAAGTTCCCAATAGAAGTTTTAAAAAGGAATTTTTAAAGTTTTAAGTTACACGAGGTCAGAATAGGCAATAAAAGTCACAAGATTGTGATGGCATTCTTTTAAGATAATAATCTTATTTTCAGATATGAAAATACTGAAACAATCATGCCAGTATAAGAAATAATTATACCATAATTCATCAGTGCATAATTTATCAAAACAATAGAGATGGTTAGATGCAACCTAATATTCCTGTATAAGATATAACTACATACTGTACAATTGTTCCTTTTTTATAATTCTTTTTACATTTAGTCCTCATCCAAATTAAGCTGAGTACTTTGATGTATGAATGGCTTTAGGAAATAAACACAACTCACAACAGGGCTTTATTACTGCTACTGCACCACCATGGCATGCAAGTAACTATGAAGTCAACTATAAACAGTAAAATGTCATCATCTTCCTGAAATAAAAAGAACATAAAAAATACAGATATAGTAGTAAACATCAATTATCATTTTATATCTTTCATATTTACCAAAAGTCTGTCATTACATGAGACATTTATACCTCTGTATCGCTCTCCTGTACTAGTATGGTGGCAAATTTGGAGTTGAGAAACTATACTTTCAACAACCTTGTATAAAACTACTACTTTCATAGAATACTGCTGTCAGTGTGTAATGTGGAAATGAGAATATGACACATCTGCTACCTACCCCTTAACATTCTCTTGCTCTTTTATATATTCAGGAATTTTGAGTAAATGAAGAGACTGAGGGCCATTAAAGCTGTTGTGGCTACTGAGTCCACAAAAGACTAACATCCTTTGGAAACTTGTTGAGTACTGACTGTGTGAGGTTCCATACTGGATGCTGGATTTGAGAACCACTGTTGGAAGCAACTCAGATTTCTAAATATTTATTTATTAAATTAATTTATGGAATGGGTATGAAAGTGAGAAGGCGATGAAATTCTGCATCTGGAGGGGAAAAAAAAATCCATGCTATATTATAAAAACAGAGGTCAAAAGTGCTGATAGGGATTCCTTTCTTCCGCTTAGAGGTCAGGACAATAAGTAGATACCAGCAAATTTCAATATTGAAATGGAAGCAGATTGAAAAAGAGCAAGTTCAACTCTCCTTAGATTTGCAATCTTGGAGACTGTCTGGTGAAAAAAAAAAAAAAAGGAAATTTTACTGCAGAAAAAGCTTTTCCATGCTCAATTAATTTTACTAATCAGTTAGCTGGCATGGAGGACCCTCTTTGTAAAATATACCATTCTGGATTCAGGACAAAGTCTAAGGTACAGAGACATGAAAGCCCCCCATCGCTCTGCTGTGGCACAGATTATGTATATGAGGTGTTTTCAATGTAAAGAAAAATAATCATGAAATGCTCAAATTATTCTTTTTTAATGGAATTATCTTTCAAATATTAACATGTGGTGTTCTTGGGTTACACCTATGCTAAGTTCAAAAGCTGCCTACCTTTTTCAGGCAATGATAACACATATATTCAAATGATCCTTTTTAGTTCCTGCTTGCTGGAAAGAAATTTTCATGCTGATTACTAGGAAAGAACTGTACAATTTTCATTGTTACATTAAGCTATACAAAAATTGCCTTTAGTTTTCTGGAATTTGCTCAGATTTCGATTATACAATTTGCTTCTACATTACAAAAAACAATGTAAAGTTTTTCGTAGTTCTATTCAAGGATTTTCCCTGCTCTGATATGTTCAGGATTAAGACTATTAGGTATTTTATTTAGTATTTTGTTGATACCAGGATCCACTCTTTTTATTAAAGCTCATCAAACATACTCATACCTACCACAAGTTTGTTCTGCTTTGGGGTATAGCAGGCTGTGTGACTATAACAGAGCACAGTACCTCGTATGTTCATTCATAGATTTGCCTCCATAAAAAACTGAGGCTGTAATAGAGCTTTCAATGGAAGCCATTTAAAAAGAAAACATTACAGAATATACAACTGTAGTTTTTGAATCTCAGACACAAGTTCCTTGACGTGTTGAAAGGTGATGTTTTCGATTTCTGACTCCTGAACTCTTATCTTTACAGTCCGCAGGCTTCTGTTGTGAAATGTCTATCAGTGCACTTGCAATTGCAAGACCTGTAAGATAAATAAGGGAAAAACAAAATTTAATGCTCAGCTTTCCTGAGAAGAATTCCAGAGCAGTGTGATGGTTCCTTTCATGCCAAGTTTTTGTACTTTCCCAGAAGTGAATCAGTTTTATTTCAGAGTTAGATAGGAAGTTTTCACTTTCTTAAATGCTACCTGTAAGTGGTGAAGTGGAAGGAAAAAACTGCAGTTAAGACACCAGACTGGAAATCAGGAGAACTGACTTCCATTTAAGTCTGTTATTGATTTGCTGTGTGATCTTAGTGTGACCTCTCTTTATCACCATTTTCTTGGTTATATGGACCAGCATCTCTCTGACAGCTTTTCTCTTATTAAATGTTTGTGCATCGCAATTTAGAAATGGATAAAACTATCCAAAAGTAAGAAAGAAATGGAGACTGCAGTTAGAACAAAAGTGTATCCTTGAATATTTGCCTTTGCAATATATATGCCTCCCTAACTAGGGAATATTCAGAGGTTAGTATTACCCATGAACAAAAAGATAAGAAAATATTTTCCAGAAAGCACAGATTTCTAAAAAGGCACTGAAACACGATGGTGTTGGCCTGGGTAAAATTCTAAATGTTGTCAACTCACCAAAACTTTTCTTTTTCAAATTCTGGTTAATTTGTTGATATGTCAGGACCTTTTATTATCCTAACAGGGTATTACCAAGGGCGTGGATAGGCATGCTTAGGAACCATAGACTATCCTATGTTGAAAGGGACCCACAAGGATCACTAAGTCCAGCTCCTGGCCCTGAAGAGGACAACCCTGAGAATCCCACCATGTGCGTTGTCCAGATGCTTCTTGAACTCTGGTATCCTTGGTGCTGTGACCACTTCCCTGGGGAGCCTGTTCCAGTGCCCAAGCACCATAACCTTTTCCAAATTTCTAACCTAAACCGCCCCTGACACAACCTCAGGCCACTCCCTCAGGTCCTGTCACTGGTCACCAGAGGGAATAGATCAGTGTCTGCCTCTCCTCTCCTCCTCACAAGGAAGTTGTAACTGCAGTGAGGTTTCCTTTTGGTCTCTTCTCCAGGCTGAACAGACCAAGTGACCTCAGCTGCTCCTTGTTTGCCTTCCCCTTTATGCCTAAGAAATCAGTAGGTTGAGAATTTAGTCTTCCATTTGCTTGTTACTTCAGCCTTTCTAGAAATCACTGACTTCTGAGGATATCCTGTGATTAAAACATGCTTAATACGTGGCAGGTCTGAGTTTTTAAGTTCACACAGGTGATATTGCAATCAAATGAATTAGGATTATTCACATTATGAATATGTTGTACTGCAACGAAATCATGACATCCACATATACCCATAATGTCGGTAATGCTGCCCAATATGTCCTAATTTCCAACTACTCTACAAGGAAACATTGGAAAATACTTTTCACCATGTCTAATAGGCCATTATTCTCAAGACAATATCAAATTCAATTTATCTAATGCACAGAATCCCATTTTGCAATATTTTCCATGCAATCCCTTGTCACAGCACTTATCTACTAAGAAACTGTGCAAAAATTGTTTTTCACTTACAAGTGTTGCTACAGTTGTCTTTCTTAGTATATGCTATACAGTCAGATTTGGTTCAGGTTTCCAGTATCCTGAAGAAATCTACGCTATTGCACCTTTCTTAACTCACAAAAAAGTTGCAAGAATTAATTCATATGCATACAGCTTTTCCAAAATGCATGGCACTGTAAAACGCTAAGTACAATTATCATTGATACATTTCAGGATACGTAAGAGCCAAGATTAATCAAGTTGTTTTTTCTCACATACACAGATATTTCCTGGCATGAGCTAGTGATGCCTTAAATTGGACTTTTGACAAATTAAATTTCTGAAATCATTGAGGCACCTTTAAAGTATTAGCAGTACCTGGTATTAGCAAATTCAGGGATAAAACCTAAATAACATTTTGATGGTTGCTTACATGTAATCCCATCTTTAACATCTAGGCTTAGGGAGTATGCTAAACAGAAAGACAATTATTAGTAAATATTTTACACCTTTTATAAGATATTTTAGAATATATTTGAAGCTTTTAAAGTAACCTCCCTTGACATAACAATTAATAAAAAGGAAGAACTATTTCTTTCAAATCTAACACTGCATACTGGGATATACTGGCATGTTGATGGAGTTCCATTAAAACTGAGTCACTAAAGAAGATCATTTTTCAAAACATCACACAAATCATCTGATGAAATTCATTTATTATGTTCTCTACACCCACCATAGTTCCTTGTTATCAAAGCAATACAATTAACTGGGGGAACAATTCATTATTTCAGAGTGGCAGTCTAAAGGAATTTCATTTACCAAGTCAAGCTTATGCAAAGACACTTCGAGCAAGCAGAATTTACATCAAAATATAACAGAAAAAATTGCTGTGGCTTAAATATTCATTAAAGGGAAAAAAGCCAAACAAAACATTCCTTTGATTTTACGGGTTTTTATCTAAATAACAAATGTGAATACATTTATAATCATTTAAGTTGGAACTGTAAACCATAAAATGCTTAATATGCGTTACCTCAGTTCCAAAGTTATTACATTTACCTGCCTTCTTCTGAGTGCTGCTATTTAAATATCCTACCTAATATCCAAACTGGTATTTTCCAAATCAGTACATGGTCTCTGATTGCCTCTGACTCCTGAGCAACGTGGAGGAAAGGAGCAATGGAAGCAGTATGTATCCCACATGGAGAATCAACAGGTCACCTTCAATAGGCTAATTTCTGGAAATTCAAGCCTAGCTGCAGAACCAGACCTATTTTTAAACTTAGTTTGTTTTTCTGCTAAATGTTATAGAAATAGCCTGACCTAGTTCTATGCAGATAAAACTATCTCTAGCTTGTTTTAAGGATATGTATGCATAGATCATTAAGAAGTGAGCCTGGTCAAGTACATAAGTGGAAAGTATATTTTTGTAAGAGATAATTGCATCCACAGTGAGAAAAATACCAGAGAAAGCAATATGAACTTATCTTTAGCAGAACTATTGTCTTTCCTAATGGAAGTTAAATGGTAACAGTTTATTCTCAGGAAGTGTCTAATCATAAAATTACTGGTGTGTGAATTGTTTCCCTTTTTTTTTTACAATAATGCAGAACCATTAATAAGTAGAGGAATAGAATATAGCATATCAAATGAGATTACCTTGAAAAGCGCATTCCCAATTTATATACAAACAGCACTTTAACTCTGCATTCGAACAAAAGCATCTGAAAAAGTAATTCATTTTGAGATCCTCTCCTCCCAGTCTCTGTAAAAACAGGCAGCACTATATATTTTAATTTTGCAGCAAAACAGCTTCATTAGGCGTGAAAGGTTAATTGCAGGTTTAAGTGCAGTTCGGGGAGCAGTGCACGGGTCTGTGGTGAATAGCACAGTCTGCTACAGGAAGGCTGAGTGCTATAAACTGTTTGCCCTGCTGAAATGTTTTACTACCTCATTTACTAACTGTCTTCTTTTACTGCTTGTATTTGTAGTTCTTCTAAACCTTTAATAGCTACAGTTTTATTTCACTGTAATCAGATTTAAATGGAAATACCCATGCTGGGATGTTTAAACATTTTTCCTCTGATTGTATACAGCTAAAAAAAAACCAAAAAAACAAAAAATCCCTTACATTGAAAAAATCTTACATGCTGGCGTGCATATTTAAAACCTCTTTTCCTCCTCTTTTGTTCATTTTAATGAGAAATGCATTGAGTTCTTACTATCCCCTTTGTTAAAAGTGAGGGAACAAAGAATGACCTCAGATTCATGGTTAGGCAGGTAACTAGAAATGTTTTTCTCAAATTGAATATGTATTATTCAGACATAACATTTGGATAGATGTCTTCATTTGATTAAATTTCTACACATGCCATTGTTATGCAGAGTCAGAACATTCAGAAACCTGAAGACAATAATTATGAGTCAGGTAGATCAATTAGATATGTTTGACATTTTAACCAAAATTATAGTCACTGCTTAAGGTGACTTTAAGCAACGAAAATAAAATGCCAGCTGCCATATAGAGACTAAAATAGAAGACTGGGTAAATGCTACACTATTAAAGTCATGGCTTCACCCTTCAGTGCCTTTGCGTTACTTCCATTTGTTTATTCTTTAAAGACGTGTTACTGTACATGCTCACCTCATAGTGGACAGAGTCCTTTTATCATAAAGGATCTATTATCCCAAATCTTCCCATTGTAGAAGATGTAATGTCCATGGGTATCTGTAGAAATGGATCTGAGCTGTCTGAAGATCTACTAAGTGATAATTACAGTCTGTGATGCCTCATGAAGGTGACCATAGCACACAGTGAAGCCAGTGAAGATAATTTCTTGCTGATCAGTAAAACTACTACTTATTATGTAGGGGATTTTAATGAATTCTATAATTTATCAATATTTCAAGTCTATAAAAATACTGCTTTATAAATATAGAATGTATATGATGCATGCATAAGTGACCTTTATATACAACCCCCCCAAGTTAATAATAAAGTTTTTTATTATCTATTTCTTAATTTGATGAAGCAGATTACATTCACCATAACTTTTATGGATGCATACTAGGACTGCACACATTTATTCCTCATAGAAACTAAATATGTTAATTATAATGTCTATAATAGAGGAGGAACATGACATTCTAGATGACTGTTACTAGACAAGTGCTTCTGAGTACCCACTGAAAAAATTCTCTTAGTTTCTATGAGACATTGTGCTAGAAATAGTCTTATTCAATTTAGTTCGGTAATATTTTAAAAATTTTCTGGTTCTTCCTGTACTTCTCCTGTGTTCTCAACCAAACTGTCTCCAAGCAGACCAGCTCATGCTTAATTTTCGTGACTGAAAAGGCCAGCATGTCATTTGTGCTACATACTCATCTGCTACAGATCAAGTCATGTTGGGAGATATCCAAAAGGTACATAAAATGGAACCAGAGCAAAAATTTGGTATTCAAAAGCATGATCCACAAAA